GCATTGACGAACGATTTTATAACTATTTTAGGAGTGTTTCAACATGCTCTTTAATATAGATATGAAGGTATTCATAGGGAGTGAAATTAAACAATAAGCTTAAACATTTTACCTTTCTGCTATTTTCATTATGCTGGTAGAAGAGTACGACTAGATTGGCCTGATAATTATGGTTCTTTCTTTAAATTTGGTTTTAAGGAATGATATTGAATTCTTTGTATTATTCATCCAATCCACGATAGTTCTATCGGTAGTAACAATAAATTTTCTTGAAGATTCAAATGCAATCACTTTTATATTGGATGTTCTCTGATGCAAAATTACTAAAAGCCGTGTCAAATTTTCAATGTTGTCTTCAGCGTGAATGTGTAGCGTGCTGATACGGTGGATCATGTATCTACGAAATTGTTGAAAATATTTTAAGTATTATATTAAAGACTTTTCAACTTATAAATTCTAGGAATTTCTATTAACTTTTTAGTTTTGATCCCATGTCGTTGAGTGAAAGTAATATGAAGGGAGGCTACCTTCTGATTTCTGTCCACTGGATAATCCACGTGTCCTCAATTTTATTTTAGTATTGTCTATCATGATTTATTAACTCGAATGGAAATAATTACTTTACAGTATTTATGCTACAAAAGACGGCAAATGGATCCATTGGAACTGAAAAATATGAAGACCGATTATCATATAAATAATGCAAACCCGATTCTACAATTTCAGTGATCGCGATACACCAGATAAGAACAAAACATACTTTTCCACCTCTAAAGTATCATAAAAATCAAATTGAAATAAATTAACGGAAGATAATGGTGTATATTGATGTAATTTGTTTATATTAATCTGATTCAATACCTCATTGAATGCTAGATTTTAAATATATGCATTGTACATATGATTTTTTATTGTTAATATTCACTTTGACAAAGTATTACCATTTGTAGTTTTCAAATCATCGTCCCATATCGAAACAATCCATATATATTATTCAAACTTTCAAACTGATGATTAAGAGAATACAGCCCATTTATTCTATGTTAAATTTAAAGATAAATTTGAAAAGTGTATGTATACCAATGATCTCAATAGCGCTAATTTTATTTGTGTTTAGTCTAGTTTTTTATAATTTATATTTCGCGTTCTTTTATACTTTAATTGCAGTTGATTTAATATGACATTTTCGAAACGTACAATCGATTAATGCTCATATTTTTTGGGGGGAGGGGGAGGAATCAAAACGTTTTTCGATTTTGGAAAGTAACGATCATACATTTCCTTTTCCTTAAGTTTACACACAAATTAGAATAAAATTGAGAATGGAAATGGGGAAATTTGTCAAAGAGACAACAACCCGACCATAGAGCAGACAACAGCCGAAGGCCACCAATGGGTCTTCAATGCAGCGAGAAACTCCCGCACCCGGAGGCGTCCTTCAGCTGGCCCCTAAACAAATATGTATACTAGTTCAGTGATAATGGACGTCATACTAAACTCCAAATTATACACAAGAAACTAAAATTAAAAATGATACAAGACTAACAAAGGCCAGAGGCTCCTGACTTGGGACAGGCGCAAAAATGCGGCGGGGTTAAACATGTTTTTTGAGATCTCAACCCTCCCCCTATACCTCTAGCCAATGTAAAAAAACAAACGTACAACAGTACGCACAGTAAAACTCAGTTCAAGAGAAGTCCGAGTCGGATGTCAGAATAGGAAACAAAAGAAAATAAACAAAATGACAATAATACATAAATGAACAAAGGACTACTAGCAGTTACTGACATGCCAGCTCCAGACCTCAATTAAACTGATTGAAAGATTATGTCTTCATCATATGAAAATCAAGTACAATCCCTCCCGTTAGGGGTTTAGTATCATACCTTACAGAAATCTTGAAGGATTAAAAACTTGAAAATCCAGATGTATACCAGAAGTTAGCATTCAGACTTGAAGAAAGTCTTTTCCGTAATACTTTTTTATGTTTATGATCATAAGGATATATGCATATAGATCATAGTACAATGTATATTGCATTTCAAATAATTTTATCTTGGATACATGATTTTCATTAGTTGTGACTGGCTTTGAACTACCTTTCAGTAACTGCGAGTTCTCTCAGATTAATGCGTTGTGTCGTGTGTTGTAAGTTGGTTTTGTGCTTTGTATCGATCTGATGAGTCAAGCTCTTTTCAACTGATTTCTTTTTTTTTTTTATGCTGTGATGTTATCCCACTGTCCTAGGTTAGGGAAAGAGTTGGGCGGCCATGTTTAAACCCGCCAAATTTTGTATGCGCCTGTCCAAAGTCAGTGGCCTTTAATTCAGCGGTTGTCGTTTGTTGTTGTATATCATATTGGTTTTTCTTAGGATGTTTTGTACACAATTAGGCCGTTGGTTTTCTCGTTTGAATTGTTTTTTATTCAGTTATATCGGAGCCTTTTATAGCTTGCTCTATGCGGTATGGCTTTAATTCACTGTCGAAGACTGTACAGTGACCTATAGTTGCTTATAATTACGTCATTTAGTCTCTGATGGATAGTTGGCTCATTGGCAATCATACCACATCTTCTTATTCTATATTCAAGGATGGTCTTATCTTTCAAGCTCGACTAATCTTTCTTTTAACTTTAAGTGTTGTTTAATATTCATGTAGTCAATCCGACACGGTAATGATTTTGCTTCATTTCGGGAAACATTAAGTTCCATAACAGGGAATTCTATAAACATTGACACAAAATTATCAAAAACATGCACAGAAATTTAAGCCAGGATATCTTTCGGTTTTGTTTGGTAAAATTATGGAGCAAAATGTATAAAATTATAACGCGATTCACATTCAATTGTAACAAATCAAAAATACGTTAGTGCTTTCTAGATGCATTTTAATATCAGGAAATAATCTGCAAAAACCACCGGATGAAATATGTAAATCGTGTGCACAATGAAAGGCATTTTAACTTAAACACTGTTAAATGGCTGGCTATTTAAGATCGTACATTGTAATCTATAATTACAAGTAAATAGTAATAATGAGATGCATTAAGGATCAAATAATATTCTAGAGTATCTGTTAATTTGTCTGATTGATTCAAAATACTTGCATCTGCTGCATTGATTCTATTTCGAATTCTATTTGTTTTTATGAATTAAAGGAGATGACTTGTAAATGTAAAGCAACCCAAGGATACACACACATTGCAGTATTAAACATTGTTAAAAAAGTATGTACATATTTGACTAGAACAGTTGCTAAATATGCATGATTTGACATGGTCATGTGGTCCATCAACATAGAATCACGTGATGTAATTCAATGTACAAGTTAGAATAAATAGTTTGGGAATGAGTTAGTAAATAATAAATAAAAACTCGCTATGGAACACTAATTTTAGTGCCATATTCACTTAAATGTTTTATCTTGCTGTGTCATTATTCTCAACAGAGAATATTACAATTATTTTATTTTACAGTAAACCTGATCTTATCTGAATTGTATTTTGAAGTCAAAGAGCCAAAGCTTTTTATCGATATATCAGTTTTTACATCTTCACAAGAAAAAAATATTAAACAAGAATTGATATTTTCAATCCTACATCTGAAATGATTATTAATTTCGGTTCGTGCAACAGTCAAAGTTATATTTATAACGATTTTGCTGTTTGTGGCCATATTCTACTGAAATACGACATTTTCATGAAATTCATATGATCTTTATATATGTTTGATAATTTTATGGTCTTTTACAGTTAAAGGAATATTTCAAAGCTTAAACAAGTTCTAAACTTTCCAGGCAATGATATCGACATAAGATACCTTCACGCATTTGCATATAACTGAGAGGTTCTCAATTTCTATTATCTTTGTGTTCAGTCAGTAAATTGATTTTTCGTTTTGATCTTCCTGGCTTCCACATTGTCATCTCGGATCAAACAATTATCTCGGGTTCCTCTAGTTACAACCTACCCTAGAGAGCGTCTTCAAAGTTAAAGTTTATTATAATTCCGATGCCTAACGTAAACATGTAAGCGATATTACATATAACACTTGGAGATAAACGTGTCAATGTGCAATTACAGTTGTTTAAAATTTTTAAGTGGTGTTGCACCTCAATAAACAAGCTGGAATTGTATGTGTAATAATGCAGGCTAATTCTACAAGTAGAATTTTTTCAATATATTTGAAAAATGGATTTTATCAAGATCCCTTGCGACCCATTTAAAACTAGGAGCATCAGATAAGAAGAATTTTTTTTTCAGTCGATACTTTTCTTTAGAAATCCTTTTAGCGTTTAAAACATGTTAACTGTTTCCTTCAGTGAACATAAAGTACATTTTAAAATTGCACTTTCCTTCTTATATAGAAGTTAATAAGGACAAGTATCAATCAGAACCGGTTATTAAATATCGAATATATCTAATAATCAATAAGTAAAAAACTCTGATGACAGTTCATATGTAGAGAATTCTGATTATATAAACGAAGCATGAAATAATGTATCAGCCAATATATTGGTACATATAAATTATGCTTGTAGAGTTAAAAGTGTTTAATTATAGTACCAATTTGATCTCTTCCTAATTGTATACATGAAACTGGACGTTAAGCAACCAACAGTAAATCAATCAATCAGTGTTGATATAATTATGCTACTCAGTGTACTTTCCAAAAATATGCACAACTTGGTTGATTGACTTAATAAAGTGCTTGATATATAACTGCCATATTGATGTTTAAGTCTTCATTTATTTATACTTACCTGAATTATCGTGATATTGTATTTAATTTGAATGTTTGATGTGATTTCAAAGATATTTTCATTATGACGAAACTCAGAAAATTATTTCATGGAAACCTTACTTCAAGAACTTCAAGAACATTTCTCGTTTTGGATTATAAAAAACATAGCTGCTTAACTTGCCCTTCGACTCTCATATTAAAGCATAGTATAGTTGTAATAATAATCACTTGATGATTAATAACAAAGAGTATTTTTAAGTTTCAGGTGAGCTGTTTCAAAGGCATCTCCAAACAACCTTTGCACCAGAACGAAAAAATCACGTGACAGTATATAAAGGAGAAACAGCTGTTCTTACATGTGCAATTCGAAATTTGGGTCCAAAGACAGTAAGTAGTCATACAACTAAGTATAACGTAAGACTCTTTTGTTAGAGCAATTACGCTATGTTTACAATGCGATTGCAATGATTACAACGGGATTGTAATGATTACACAATTTCATTGAACACAACGGGCATACACATCTTCACAGGAACTAAACATTTATAAGCGAATATTTTTGCACCTAAGAAATTAAAATGGGATCAACAAAACAGGTTAACTTTGTACATTTGTGCTGTATTGTATTTTAGACCAAGGATAAACACAAATCGCTTATGCTCCGCCTACGATAGAAAGGGGCATTATGTTTCCCGGCCTGTGCGTCCGCCCCTTTTCGGGTTAACAAAGTTTTGTTTAAGGTAGTTTTTTTATGAAGTAATGGTCGAACACAAATGTCATGTTCAGTATAATGTGAACCTTTTTTTATTTATACCACATTTCTGTGCTTTACTCAAATTTTGTGGTTCCCTGAACATGGAAGTATGGTAGGGAGATTAAGGCACAGTGTCCTATGGAGACATGTTTTTCAAGTGAGGATTTCTTACTTTTCCTACTTCGAAGCTATTTGCAACGATCATTTCAGTGCCTCTAAAATGTATTATACTCGAAGTAATAAGATAATGTGAAACTCGTTTAATATCATGTGATAAAACTGAAAAGTGAATTAAACATTAAAACAGTTGAAGTCGGGGTTGAATTCATGCAGACATAAAACGGATGAAGAAATGACACAAACTTAATCTATAAACAATAAACAATATATAACTTACGTTAAAGTAATTTAATTTTAATGGTATTGTAGCGTGCAGAATGTTTTGTAACTGTGACGAACAAACATCTTGTACGCCTCATATATCCATTATTGGAATTGATAAATAAACTGGTAAATAACATTTCATAAAGTTCATTTGTTTTATGATAAAATATAGTTCACTTTTGATTTTTTAAAAGAATCATATCTTGAAACAGTGGAAATAGCAACCCCAAAAAAAGATTAAAAAAATGACGTGATAAACTGCAGATATAGGCACATTTTTTTATGCGTATATCGTCCAAACGTGTATCGTGCGTGTGTACTGTTTTAATTCCAAAAGTGTTTTGTAGGTAAAACAAACGTTTTCAATTGACTATTTGTTTTCACATGTCTCAACTGATTCTGGCGCTTAGGCTTTTAGCTGTTGAGCAACCAATTCTAAGTTATTATATCTTTCCAAATGTTAAGGGAGTTTCACAAAATAAAGATAAAATATAAAAAACAAAGCAAAACGATCAAACATGACCGTTTATTTGCAAAAGTACACGGGTTCGACACAGCGAAGTATTTAACAAGAAATTCAGTGATACATGGCAATTAAGTTTGTATAAAATGTCACAAGAACGCTTTTATAGCGTAGTGAAATTAAAGCATGATGCTTATATTTAAGATTCATCAGATGACATTTGCTGCCTTGGCTATTATATATTTTTGTATTCAATCAATTTTGGAAAAATATTCGCTTCAGTTGTTACGGGTAGTTACAACTCCTTTTATTTATGTCATTACTGCAAATCTGAAGAATTAGTTAAATGACAAGGAATTATTTAGCTAAACTGTTGCACAACCCCTAAAATTACAAAAACGTTTTATTAAATGAAATATACATTTATTGATAAATCTCTAAGTAATCACAATACTGCATCAAAACTGCATTTCGTCTTATTTAAACTCAAATGTATGTAAATATAATTTTGTGTATGTTAATTCTCGACATTTAGCTTTACTTCTTTGTCTTTGCCATTGAACAGGTTGCTTGGCGCAAGGTTTCGGAAGACTTCCCAATATCTGTTGGCAAAATGATGTATGCTCCAAATGATGAAATGAGCATAGATTACCAGCAGATTGGTCACGTGACTCATGTTAATCTAGTGATTAAAAAGACCCTTCCATCACATTCCGGCAAATATGAATGTCAACTAATTTCATCGGAAATTCAACTTCATCATGTGACTCTTACTGTTCTTAGTAAGTACTTTATAACTAAAAATATATGGTCTCTACAAAATGTAGAAATGTAGAAAAATTGGGATAGCATACACCTTTATTTATATTATTAATACAGCAAAATATTCAAATATAAATCAGTGTTTTATGTTAATTCAATGCAGTTCGGCAAAAGTGTACACTTGCTACGGTAACATCCGTGCCATATCAGAAAAAATAAGAAATATGTATCTTAATAATCGATTTATGACAACTTACTCATCAACGACCTTGTAACAGCAGTAACACGACTGTTGTCACTGGTGGAGCAGGAACTGCTGACTCTTCCGGCGCATCCTAGTTGATCATTTTTTGTGGCTTTCGCTTTGTTCAATCCTAAGAAGATTGTCCCCTGGTTATCTTCCTTCCTTTTTGAAGTTTTGTTTTGTAAATTGGTGGACAGTACAGGTTATTGAACTGTTTAGGCGTTAACATATATTTTGTTAAGTTTTTATTGTTGAAAATAAAGTATACTGAAAATAATTGTTTAAAACAAAGGTGTAAAACAATAGTTTCATTTGTATTTAAAAAGCTAATGTCAGTATTATTGATCTTTATTTCAGAGAAACGTCCTGTGTTTAAGCAGTGTAAGTATTATTTTTTCATATAAGTTAAAGTTGACCTAAGTTGCTCTATTTTGTACCCTCCTTAGGTCGATTTATCTGAACACTTACTGTGATTGGACAAACAAAACAGCATATACTGAACATATTTTTCCAAGCTGAAGGATGAATTAAGTGTAAGAAATATAAAAAAAATGTACAAACAGGTGCAGAAAATGAATTTCTGAGAATTTTTGTATTCATTGCCTGTTCAAATGTTCAAATGCCGCAAAACACTGGTGGCATTAGTTTTATAAAGATAGTAGAAAAAGGAGACCGTCATCATACATATTCACATTTATTTTTGAATATTATTAACTAATTACTTCAGTTAACTGTGTGTGTAGGTTACGGGTCAGTGTTACACAGTAGTAAAAAATCTACAAAGGGTGTCATTTTCCTTATGGTCCAGGAAATACTACCGTTCCACCTAAAAGTATTCCATTTAAACACATCTTATTGTGAATTCAATTTATACATTTATTAAACATATCACATGGGTCGGTTGTACACTCAGTCAATACACATTAAAAACAAATGTGTTTGCTCTTAAGAACACAGATATTGTAGAAGTTAATGTATGTTTTGAGCAATTTACTGAAACAGATTTTTTATGTAGTCATTTGTATATTATGACGTCATGATTAAATATAACCATGGGGCCTGTTGATCTGTCAAAATTGAACCATTAAGTGTTGTCTTTGTCCGTCCGTCCGGACGCCTCAAAATTAGTTTCCGTTCTCTAACTTTAGTTTGCCTCAACCGACTGTTATGAAACTTATACACAATGCTAATTACTACAAAACACAATTCAAATTCGAATTTGGGTTGCGTCATTTTTACCGTTCTTGAGTTATTCCCTTTATAATGTTATATGCAAGCGGGGGCATCATCTGTGTCACATGGACACATTCTCTATTTAAATATTCATTTCCAATGCTCTTCAACTTTTGTCTTGATTTTGGTCTTTCGATAATGTGATAGAGCCCCACAGATGAGACTTATAAGACGAAACACGCGTCAAACGTACTTAATTAAAAGCCTGGTATTTGATGAGTTTTTTCAGTAGATAAATATAAGAAAAATAAGAACTAAGTATAACAGAAGGCGGATAGTTGGCTCATTTACAATTAAACAACAAAAGAAAATAAATTGGACTGAAATCAAGGAGGCAAACAATATCATATGTCAAAGAAATACAGCCAACACCCTGTACAAAAGTGAACCGCCAAACTATAGAATAGAAACAATTACATGTACATAGAAAACCTCGGATTAAGGAACTATAAACCACCCAAAAACCGTGGTGCTCTGATAGAGTAAGCATTTGTTCCTTCTCCGCTAGCGACCCCGTCGTGAGGGTCAAGTCAAGTAGGAGTAGAGTAATATATCGGGTTAAATATTAAGACAGTAATAAACTGATAAATGTGGATACATGTAGGTAACATGTAGCTACTATTGCAAACGGACAAATCCATATTATCTTTTTCTTTGTACTCATGCCTCCTTTTCTATCCCAATCGTTAGTATTCATTGTCGTATTATACGCATATTTCATGTCTAATTACAAATACTTACTTCTCTGTAGTATATTTTCCAATCTCTGTATTTCTACAAACAGCTATATTACTAGACGGATCAGTGTACCTAAGTCCAAAACAACGACTAAATTTAACTTGTAATGCTACTGGCTCAAGCCGTGCTCCTGAATTCATAGACTGGTTTCATGATGGAAATCTCATCGATGAGCGAAAAGTACATTGGAGAAACAGAGCAGTGATATTTAATTTTAAACCGGAAGTACCTGGACGTTCACTTATTAGTCAGTTGACAATTGAACATGTTCAACCGAAAGATGCAGGTGTATACGTATGTCGTAGTATGACCCCAAGTGTAAACAGTGGCGTTGATACTACAAGTATTACTGTACATATTTTAAATGGTAGGTACAATTATCGTATTAGTAAATATCAGGTATTAACATAATAAAAAATGGCAATCATACCACATCTCTTTATTTATTTATATCAAACGATTACCAAGTTTTGTACGTTTTAGTTGGTTCAAACATAATTATAAGTCATTGTCTTCAATGAATCAACATTTATTGATTGATTGTGGCTTTCTAAACGTCCAATGGCAAATATTTTAAGCATATTCAGGTCGAGAAAAAATAAACAATATATTCCATACATATGTCTTACTGAGGGGTCGACCGGGGATTAAGAATGAGAATTTCGATCGTTTCTTTAGAAAAAGAGTGTGTTGGATAGGACAGACATTAGCATTTGTTAAACAGACCACCTACGATCTTTATTTTCCAACACAGAAAGAGCGTAAATCATAGTGTTAATAATTGTTAAACAATAAAATACAGAAACGAGAAAATGGTTCTTCAAACTTTCAATATTCAAGACTTTAGGAGACGAATTTATTGCAAACTGTTCAATGAGTTATATGTCTGATTTCCCAGTTGCAGATTCTTCATACTGGTCCTATCATTTTAATTGTTTGCATTGCACGTATAGAAGTTATACTATAAACGTAATTTTTAATGACAAATATTTATGATCAAACTAACAACTTCCAAAACGATTTACTTAATTCAAATCCTTTCATAATACCCGCTACGTTAGTCCTCCGTAACGCAGTGTGCCTGCTACTTGTTTCAGACCTATATATTAAGCCTAACATAGTTTGTATGAAGAACCAAATATTTGACTGTCATGTGTTATAGAAATAACGTCACCTGGACTTTTTGGTTGCATATTCCGTGTTGCAGAATTCGGTGGGCTGTATGGTATATAAAAATATGCATCCAAGTCTAGCCTGAATAGGGTGTTCAAATTTAGGGAGTATTACATTCTATTCGCGTAAAAGAAACGCTGCTGTAACTCTTTTCAAGGGCGAACGAGACCTGTTGCAAGACAACATTTCTGGCCATACCAAACACCTGAGCGTTAAACATAAAATGTATTTGTTGCATCGTATCTTAATCCTGCGCATATTCCCTTTAATTGAACCAAATGATTCGAGCATCTGAGTTAAAACTACAAAACAGTATCATGAACATAAATCAAGACTTTAATATAAAAAATAAAATGGTGAAATTAAAGGACATTTTATGAGCATACAATTTTAAAGAGTTTTGTTAAAAGATCAGGGATTCTTACTAAATGTGGTGATATCACGATATTCCTTGCGTGATTACAATCAATTCACTGACATATTCATTAGAAAAAAGCTTTTGTCGGTCAAATCAAATTGAATGACTGTTATTTGATTTTAATTGCAGTGCAAATTTAATTGCAAGTTTTAAAATCTTGACAGTATGAATTAAATATCTTGATTGAGATTAAGGCATTGGAATGAGTTCTTGTTGCAATATTGTAAATTGCATTGATAAATATATATTTGAGACAGTCTTAAAATGTTTATTAAATGAACATTTAAGTAAATAATTATTTAAACAATATTTGTTACTTTTGAAAAATGATCTGCTAATTGCTGTCACATGCAATTCTAAATCTTGGAAACAAATCTTAGCAGTCATATGTCTTAACTATGAAAGACCAAAAGACTATAATGGTGCTTACTGGTTTAGTTCATATTTATTTGCTCTGCATTTTTCGCGTTGTTTTATATTACCCAATAACTGGAACAAAATCAATTCATCAATATTTAGTGAAACATTTGGTGTTCAATTCCACCTGATGGTCTTTTGGTGTGAATGATCCGGTATCATGTTTATATGAATGACAACATAAGATCTGAAATGTGAAGAGTGTTTTTGTCAAATACTAAAATAATAATCTTTTTGGCTACGACACAGCAATGACAATATTAATGATCAATATTGATTAATACAAACATTGGATGATGAATATAATTCATATTCATAATGATGATTGTGGCTAAAAGAAAAGATGTGATTTAGGTAGAATTATGCAACCGTAAAATTAAACCTTTCAAAAATCAACATATAGATATTTCAAAACCTCAAATATATCTAAATAAAATTTAATCAGAATTGCAATCTAATATCATTTGTATCCACATTTAGGGCGTTCTGGTTGGAAAAGGGCATCTTAGTCATTGATTTCCTTTCAATTTAAACTAAAAATGCATCAACAATCTATCAGCAGTTCCATTTTAACAAAATAAAATATAATACGCCACTGATACGTCACGGTCTATAGTTTCGTTCGTAAATATAAAAAAAAATTAAAAAGTGGTGACAAAAGCGTTCGTTTATTATCTGGTATAGGTCTATTGCTTATCGTTTCTAAGTGAAAGACTTTTTCAATCCAAAATCATATTTTAGTAAACAGTTCTCGAACGCCAAAACTGAAGTTCAAACTTATTCTTTTATATTTTATTTCGCAGCAGAAAAGGATCACATGAAAAAAAGAGAAGGTGAGTAGTACACTACAATAACAGCCAGTATTTAATAAAAAAAAAGCATGTTATTTCCGCCATTTTAAGGCTCCACCTTACTGACTCAATCGACATGGTTCTCTGATATAAAGAAGCTGTTGCAAGTGAATCGAGGCAAGTGTAATATAAGCACATACTTCTCATAATTCAATATCTTAAATACACGTATATCAATATCCGAAACAACTTTTCAAATGAATTGGATTTATATAGTTTTACTAATTTTTGTTCGAAAATGTATAAACGAAGCGAACTACCAGTATCTTATTACCAGTGAAATTGAGCAGGAATTTTCTACCCATTCGCAGTGTCTGATTTCAACCAAGTTATTATGGAAGTGATGTTGCTCAATATAAGGAGATCTGTCTAATGTATTGTGGACTTTTCTCTGTTGCCTTTCTTCTATGTATGGTTTTTGATTGCAGGCTCCTTTCTCTTTATATTTTATATTTGTCTTTATGTTGTAATAATATAAATAAGGTCAACTCCCGATCCTTATAGTTCATTTTGATATTTTTTGTAGTTTCATATTTTTGTTCTGAAGTGTCCAATTTCACGTCTCCCTGTGCTTTAATAATTTTTAAAGCTTGTTCTTAACGATTTAATTAAGCATAAAAGTGACATATTATCGGGATTGGGATGCGCCTAACATGTTTTATAACTTAAAAATCTGAAACCCTAGTTTTCCACTTTTGAAATCTCCATGTATCTTCAAAGGTTTAAGCACCGCTGCGTCAATATCTACTTTTAATACATGCTGGATCAAACATTGCTTTTCATAAACGGGTTCATATCTCAATTAAATTTATCATTTCAGTTGTTATATATTAATTTTCATAATTTACATGCAGTAATGTTATAACATCAGAAAAATTAAAAATTAAGTTGTCGTGTCATGTTTTACGTCAATAACTTTGATATCTTGAATTGGTACAATAAATTAAGGCAATCGAAGTTTACCAATGATTAAATTTCATAAATCTAGTAAGAAGATACAAATCAAGGTAACACAAAAACTGAGGGAATTGCATGAACTTCAAAAGGAGTGAGACCGGGTGCATTGACAGGATAAGCGTGTTCTGGTATGCATGTATCATCCACAATGCGAATACAAACTCGGTCAAAATGTTACTATCGGGAACAGGTCTGGACACAATTGGTAAAATTATAGATTACACGACTATTCTGGTATCTAAAGATCTAAGATCGCGAAAAAACAATAATGATTTAAGACGCATGCATATCATATCAATGGACCAATTCGTAGTGGTGACCGTAACACTTATGTAAGTGTCGATTTTTGTCGTTCTTTGCCGTAGCTCTTTTTGAGCAGTTTTTCTGCAAGAGCAAACTCCTGTTAAAGAAGTCTGTATAGTGTGCACGAGAGTTACGTATTAATTGAGATATGTAGATGCAGTTGGAAAAATGAAATCATCTAGTTTGTTATATATTATAATACAATTTAGCTTGAGGTCCTCCACCTGTGTCAATTTCGAGGAAAAGATGAAGATATGAAGCGCACCTTCTATTATCTCACGTTCACTTGGATATTTTAGATGCAATGAAAATGAACCTGTTGTAGCTACAATTATGACCATTTATGTTGGTTTTTTTTATTTGCTCTATCTTCAGCTTATTATAGGAAATGCCTTTTATAAACATACAAGCGTTAAAATTAACGCGTGTAAGTGCTGGTCAATCATCTTAGTTATTTAGATTAAATTTAATTATTTGTCTTCTAGGTGAAGAAACTAAAATTAACGCATGTAAGTGCTGGTCAATCATTTTAGTTATTTAGATTAAATTTAATTATTTGTCTTCTAGGTGGACAAACAAAGGTAGCAAATGAACTGATAAAAGGCGACAAGAACAGGACATTCAAGATAAGGGGATGCTACCATCTTGTGCTACTTGCTATAATTTTTCAGATATTTAGCTGACGTGTTTGAATAGAATAAACAGTTTTGTGCCTTATGAGGAGAAAGCTTTTCAAAACATGTTTTGCGGTACAAAAAGAGAAAACAATTTGCTAATTGAAGTTGTTTTAGTGCCATCACATAAATAAAACAAATAAGAAAATCAGCAACACGCATTTGAAAGACCAGGTTTGGAATTGTTTGAATAAGATGATTCGTACTGCTTAATTTATCTGTCGAGTTCTGTTTATTACTATAGTCTACTGTTTTAGCATTCCATTAATAGAAATGATGGTCAGGATTCGGAGATTACATTGTAATTGATGATTGGATCAATATGCTACATTTTGTACTTCAAAAGCGTTTCAAAGCCATTTTCTGCTGTCAATGTTTATGTTTTAAAGTAGATTATTTGATAATGTGTTTATACATACAATGAAAATTAAACATTGATAGAAGTTGTAGCCAGTTTAAATGGAACGAATTGAAAGGTACCATTGGCATTCTTTATACTCTTCAACATTTGTAACTATTTGATGGAAAAAATTTCAAAGGAAGTTGTTTTCTATAAGTGTATTACAGTTTTGTTAGCGGAAATCGATCACTTGCTTGAAAAAGAAATTATTCGTTATGCTTCTTTTAATAAACACTTTATTGAATACTGAATTTAAATGTGAGTTCAATGTTTTGCCAAGACTATATAGTAACGAATTGTATCCATTTTGTATATAGATATATATATTTCAGAATCACAAATTAACAAAAATATGTATTGTGATAATATCTTTAAGTTAATTTGTCAATACATTAATAGCAATTTTAAAAATTCATATAAATATTAATCTCTATCTCGAGAGGTTTCTCAAAATATTGCTGATAACAATTTTTCTTCGTACCAGAACGCCACTGTTCCGTTCGTATAGATACGTCTGTTCTTTTTTGTTTTTATGTCTGAACTTTTTTCGTACAGCATATAATGTTAAAACCCTCAGTCTATGTACATCGAAGCCAACTTAGATCTATCTTATCAAAATTTCATTACAACTGTCCTACGTGTTAGCGTATAAGAAAATAGAAAAATAAAAAATGAAAATATCATAATCAGATTAATAAAGCACAAATAACCAATCGATATAAAATTTGTAATAATTATTGTATACTGTAATTTAATTAACCAAGAAAAGAAAAGTTTAAAAACTTCTATCTAAGAATTGAATAAATGTATTATTATATTAATATTACAAATAAGTATATTTTTTGAGAGAGTTGAATTCAAAATGTCACATCAAAGGTAAACAAGACACATACATATGTACATCGGTGTCATAAACTTCGTTAAAATTCTGAACCATGTGGGAAGTCCCAAGACAGTCTTAAGACATTTTGTACCATTGTCCTAAGAAACATTGGATTAACAGGTCTCTGTATTTGCATCATTCAATCAATCATTATGTATTAAACAGATAAGAAGAGCTCACACCCCAACCAGTAACCATGCATGGTATTATCAGACTGTAACTTCTTACTATTGTGTTTATTGTAAGTTACACTATATTACTATCACCATTTTACATGTTAAATATGAAACAGATATTTAAGATGATTTGTAAATATGATTCTATGTATTTTAATGACGTGAAAATAATTTTACAATAAATATTAAGTTTACTTTTCAAGGCAGCTTTATTTTGAAGCCATCATTAGTGAGTTTAGAGGTTTACATGTTGGTATTATATGACCATTGTTTTTAACCTTTGAATTCTCCGATTACAAGTATCAAAAGCATGCTTCAGATTTTCACAAACATTTAACTTTCTGAAAACACAAATTTAAGTTGTGTGATACATATGGTGTATGCCTTCAAACTAAAAAATTAAACTGCCAAAATTGACTTCTTCTGAAATCTTCTCGTGAATTTAAAGCTATTTCGGGTCACAGCTACCCAGTTATCCTCAATATAATGGTGCAGGTCAAATATCATTAAGGTAACGATGGTTTTATTTTATTTTATAAAACAGTTATGTAAAAATTTGTAAATGATTTAATTTTTATGACGTCATAGTGATGTCACGAATCACATATTTATGTGACGACGATTTATCATCATATTCTCTGATCCATTATATTGATATTATTTTAAAAGATTGGAAAATGTATATAGTTTTCAGCTCTTAGCATGACTCTTTTAGAGTCAGTGTTATATTTCGGATTCCATCGACATTTGACTCAATTTCTTTTCTTTGCTAGTACAACAAGGCTATCTTAATTATTAATACGGCGAAAATTGTTCAATATTTTACTGAAATACATTCACTTTCTTCCCAGTAAAAAAAAAACTTTATCAAAGATACCATGCTTATGATTTTGTACGGCAGACGCACGTTTCGTCTGCAAAAGACTCGTCAGTGACGCTTGAATGAAACAGAAAAAGACCAAATAAAGCACTGAATTGAAAAACATTTAAGACTCAAATTAACGAAATATTTGTCGATGTTTATTGAAATCAACTTGGCATTAAGCATTAAAAATACAACTGAGAACACAAGGTACGGATTTAAGAGTACTCGCAGTTACTGATATCGAGTAATGCCGATTACAATTCATAAATAAATCATGTTCTCCCAGACTAAAGTAACAATCAGTACACATCCAGCAAATTTAGTGTAAAGACGTCGTAAACGGTCTGAGAAAAGCATGAGCTTATGCCATGCCATAATATAAGTGTATAGTATAAACATGGTGAACAACCAAGTTTTCATAACTGTATGGCAATACATATTTAATAATGTTCTAATTCATAAAAAATTAAAATCAATTTTAAATCCGATTACAAACCATTAAAACATCTTACTACGATGTTAAGGATGTTCGCTCCTCTTGTTTTTTATTTTTTGTCAGATATTCGGAATCCTCTGGTTTTATCCATGTTTTTCCATTAAGAAATTTTGTCCACCAACCCCTACTTTTCTTTTCATGATTTTATTACATATAGTTTAAAAAGCCATATTTGAAAACCTTATAAAATCCTTGTTACTTTTTCAATGTTTTTGAAAGAAAAAAGGTGCCAATGTTAAATGTATGAAAAATCTAGAGAGAATCATTACCCGCCAATTTTCAATGGCTTATATCTCGAAAACAAGCACTTCATTTTTTTCTGCTTTTTCAGTTCCTTCATTTATATACTATCAATTTATGACAGTCTTTCAAAAAGCTTGTTATTTTGAAAAAGAGTAGCGAACATCCTTAAATGGATAACCTTTAAGAATAAGTTTCTTCAAAAGATCAATCATTATTAGGAGTTGATATGGGTCATGTCTCTAAAAACAACACTGGAAAAATCAGGATGTCATATCACGTTTGTAATAAGATATGGATTTATTGATGTGGCAAGTATTTTAAAGCAAGTAGAAAGCTGGAACAGCCAACCTTTGCTCTCCAAACCGCTGGCGTATGTTCACTGCTATTCCGAATAATATTGGTAATTTTTTTTTAATAATAATCTAAAACCCCAAAAACGTTATAAATACTTCAAACAAAAGCCTAGAATACAGAAAAAGAGAAGCTAAAGATAGCAAAGGGACATTCAAACTCATAAGTCGAAAATAAACTGACAACGCCATGGCGAAAAATAAAGAAACAGACCATAGACGAACAAAAGTATACAAAACACAACATAGAAAAATAAAAACTGAGCAACACGAACCCAACCAAAAGCCGAGGGTGATCTCAGGTGCTCCGGAAGGGTAATCAGATATTGCTACACATGTGAAATTTTGTTTATATAACCCTTTAAGAACAGTTTTGACCCTGGCTCACCAGCAATGTCTTGTGTCGCATACCAAATATATGTAACACCGCTTATAAAAAGTTCAATATCTAACGATTTCATCTAAAAACCAAGATTTTGATAAAATTTCAATTTGTTTATTGCTGTCATGTGTTAAAATATTAACAATATAGCCAAGAAAAATTACATTCATGATTCTACTTCGTCAAATTATCTCCCCATTACGCCACCTAATGTTTTTAATCGTGAAAATAGAAGCCTTTATAGGGATGACGGGCTGTCAATTAAGCTCTTGAAAACCGATAAATTTATCCACATAACTTCATTACGATTCTTACATGACAGTTGTATTTTAATTGACAAATGTATCTACTTGCTATTAAGCATCATTTAATGTGCTTTTAGGACTTTTGTCAACTTAAAACAATTTTTTGATCGGTTGTCAGGGGGAATTTTCGAAAGTTAAAAAAATACTAAATACATTCTAATTAAATATTTCGTGGAAGGGCATACTAAATATTATCAGAGGTTTAAGACTTATTACCCTAGATACCACAACCAAAAATCTATTTTTTTGGAAGTTATGCATTTTTAAAATCCACTTGTAAAGTCTGTCGTCAAGTACTTTTAGTAAAAATTTGTTATTCAAACACACCTACTCTGTTATTATGACTCATTAGAAAGGTACTTGACCCATATATTTCATTTTTTAGTACTGTGAATTTTTCAATGTTATTATATCAACATGTATCCTAAATATATAACTATAATAGAATTTGAAGCAAGATCATGTATCAATAAAATTGAGAATGGAAATGGGGAATGTGTCAAAGAGACAACAACCCGACCATAGAGCAGATAACAGCCGAAGGCCACCAATGGGTCTTCAATGCAGCGAGAAATTCCCGCACCCGGAGGCGTCCTTCAGCTGGCCCCTAAACAAATAAGCATACTAGTTCAGTGATAATGGACGTCATACTAAACTCCAAATTATACACAGGAAACTAAAATTAAAAATGATACAAGACTAACAAAGGCCAGAGGCTCCTGACTTGGGACAGGCGCAAAAATGCGGCGGGGTTAAACATGTTTTTTGAGATCTCAACCCTCCCTCTATACCTCTAGCCAAATATCAAATATGTTTGCTTTATACGTTTTCAAGACAAAACAGTCAACGCAAATACGCCTGAACATAAAAGGTGTACTCGACTTTCCCTTTTCGATGAGATTATAGCCCATTTTTATGATTTTGTTCACAAAACTGAGTTGCAAATTAATGCTTTAAAAAGAACATTCTTTTATCATCTTTCTGTGGATTTTATTCGGCGGAATTTATGCTTATGAATAAAAAGATCCACCTGTATTTGTACCTACCATAATCGACTGTTTTGTGAAAATTTGTCTTTAATTTAAAAGTTTATAAATATTTCGAAGTACCATACTATAATTTAAGTAAACACACGTATATAAGATGCAAAAAATCCTAAATTATGCACCTACATTCAACTTTTAAAGCCCATAGAAACAGATGTAATTCAAATATACCAACTTGGACTTTTTTACTTTCCCTAATTAAGAGTTCCATTTTTTTGTTTAATTTCAACTGGATATCAGCCTTGATTAAGGCAACAGTTGTCTACAGATGTTCAAATTCGTAAATTGATTAATTCAATAAGGTAACAAACAAAAAAAAAACTGAGGAAACTCGTAAACTAAAACCTATTTTGAAACCCTTTTGAAAAAGTGTTTGGGCAGGAGTTCTCTTGACCCTGGCACACTTGTATATCAGGTCATGAAGACAAATACTAAATTTCAAATATTCTTAAAAAAAATATAAAAATGCATAGTTGAGATTTTTTATCAAGAAACCAAGACCTAAAGAATATGAATATGAGGTATTAATAAAAGATTACAGCAAATTTTGTGTCAAAAGAAGGTCCTTTCATTCATT